AGTTGGATAAATCATAGACCCATCTGGAATGAACAAAGTACAATTGTTATTATTATTTAATTGAAAATTGATACAACAAACTTACTGTTGAATTTGTTTACGAAATGGTGCGTTGTAGCGATTGGATAGCAATGACCCCAACACCATTAAGCTATCTTCTAGCTGACCTATTGTTTCAGCAGTCGTATCACCGCGCAATAACAGTTCACCGCGGTTGTTGAAGCTCATGAATTGTAATTCATGTACGGACCATTCGTTTGTGACCTGCTTTAACTTAGCCTCGATATCCTTCTCTTTCATTGCACTAATACAAATATCTTCAATATCCTCTTTGTGTTTAAGCAGAGGCGCCTCCAATATATTCTTCAATGAGAATCCTTCCGAATCGAATTCGAAGATATATTTGGTAACGTCCATGATGCGTTGCCAATGTCGAGGCTTCATTGCCTTATTAGCCATCAACTCTAATAATGGGCACATATCATTGAAATCGTCAATGGTTTTCTTGAGTGCATGGAAAGCCGGCCACTCCTTCAAACCTTTTGGAAGTTTACGGCAACGATTCTGGAACTCCATTAGTTCGTTGTTGATATCTTCGATGTCCACTTCATTCCATGGTATATCATAATAACTGCTCACGCGATCTATGACATCATTATACAGTTTATAGAGTTTCTGCAACAAATTTAATTCTTTTCGTATCTGACCCAATTCTGGGTAGTCAGTTTGTGGTAAACCAAATAATTCTTCACCATTCTGGTAGGTTTGCAGGCGACGCCACATWCCCTCGAAACGATTTTGGAATAAAATTAAGCGATCGGAGGCCTCACGTGGGGTTAGCCCAGGTTGCATAGGACCRGCATTGCGATATTCGTTAACGTATTGTATTTTATCTTGTTTAAATTTCTCTAAATTGTTCTTGAGATCATCCTGAAAGGACGGTTGCATATCAAGCAGTTTCACTTGAGCTTGAAGGGCACAAGACAATAAATTTTGAAAAGTACTCCGTAAGTTGTCTACCAAGTCGAATTGTTCACGTTCCACTTGCACCTCAAAGCGTGTAAGTACATTAAATGCCTCCTGATAATGCAAAAATATCTGATAATGACAGCATTGAATATAAAAAAATATCATCTTACTTCTATTGGATCAATGCGTAACTCCATATCAACTTCTTGCTCTCTTATTTTACTTAAGGTTTCCATTATCATGCGCACGTCATCGAGGTCACGTATTGGCCTGTCCAACTTGCGATCCATTTCATTGATTACCGCGTAGACGTAGTCCATCTCTTTTTTGTATTTCTTCTTCATAGCTTGTCCGATCTTATGATTACAAGCTAAAAAACACATATTTGTTTACATATTGAAGAAATAAAATCAAAATATAAAATCAATATAAAATCTAAAAACTTAGATATTTTATAAAGGTCTCGCACAAGCCATTGCTCAAGAGCAATACATAAAAAGTGTAATCAATTCATTGCAAGTGCTATGTACTTATTAAACGCTACCATTCAAAAAGTTCGTTCAATTCATAATAAAATAATGAGTGCTGATTTACACTTCAAACGTAAGCAATGGCATTGATTTGGGTGAAGCCCTGTTTGGTGSGAGTCAAATCGTTTGCGCGCAGTTAGCAAAAATCAAATGCAGTTAAATTCAAAAGAGCATCGACTATGGAATTCGCGGCAATGCCAATTACTATAATTTTCCATGCTAATAATCAATTTACACTTTTACAACGCATTTTTACTTACATTTGATCTCAATGGCCAATCCATATTTAAGTCGTTCATTGTAAACGGATACACAATGACCAAACACCTCCATTTCAGGCTCTACTAGCAAATTGGCGTCCAACTCGGCCAAGCACCGTAAAGTTGATTCGAATTCCTGCAAACCAAACTCCATTAATTGACGAGTTGTACGATCATTTTTCCATAGGAAATGGTATGGTTTCCAACGTTTTATGTAGGTTTGTATTTCGGGTTTGATATTTTTTGTACAATTTGAGAGCAAATTTAGAGCCTTCACCACCTCTTTATTATCCATGATGGCGGCATAAAACGACTTCAGCATGTGAGGCATTTGTGGACGTTCCTCTGAGGCCAGAGTGTATAGTTTGCGACGACGTGCACGATTTCCGGTATTATGATTTCGTCCAATTCGCGGCTGAGGCGTTGTTGATACTTGCTATTGGAAGTACATCAAAACAAATTAATTCAGTTCAGTTCAGTGTCAACTGCTATTCTGTTTGTTATGCTTACCGGWTCTTTGCCGCTAGTCCACTGTGCCACGCCTTTGGCAATGCCGGTGATATTTTTACCAGCGGTTGTCAGTATCTCTTGCAACTCATCAAGGTTCGGTTTGATCACCACATTTGGGATCTGCAACTGCGCATTTAGTGCGAATATCGGCTTTTTCAATATGGTCTCATTCTCATCGTCAATAAACCGACGCCTAATAGTATCTAACGCACCACGTATTACCTTAATCAGCACATCAATTACCTTTCGACTRTAGTATCGTCGCATTTCCACCACTGCATTACAGACCATATCCTAGAAGAGCATTACCAACACCAATCAAATAATCTGTGCACCTTTGTGCATATGTAAAATCACTAATTACTTGCATTCCCTTAGGAAGACTCTCCGTGGTCGAAAGAAGAGTTAAGGGATTCTCAAAGCATGACCATAATATACTCCAATCTTGCTGCTGGGTACCCACAGTACCACCACCGACACCGTTCCCACCAGCACCGGCAGCACTTGGAACAGCTCCACCGCCTTCTGCCTCTCCCTTTCGGGCCGATGATGGTTGCGTCTGATTTCGTGAAGTAGCTATTACATAAATGAAACATATTGAATACGATTATAACGATATGCCTTCAAATATCCATAAGGCAAGTATGTATGTAAGCGCGTATACCATCAAACAAAGTAACTATATCATCGCCGGCGATTTGCTTGAATGTCTCAGTCGCCTTATCAACCAAATTTAAAACTTCCTCCACTGCCTCCGACACCATTTGACTTTTGCGGTTCAATTCAATAGCAGCGCGTCTGAAAAGGCAAACACAATATTTAACCACTAAATTCAACCAAAGAAGTATTAACAAGAACATAAACATAACCAAATATACCTATATTATAATTAGGCATACGGATTTGGCAATACGTCTAACTGCTCAATTTTGCAACTGTGTTTCTCAGTATATTTATATACAAGTAAGTAACGAGAGGCAAGGTTCCAGTGGAGTGATGTATATTAATTGAAAAGGAGCTTTGCTTTTCCATTTTCTAATTTTTAAAATCTTTGAATACTTATGGAGTTTTCGATACTGATTTTGATTTCGAGTATCAAGATGTTCTACATATGTACATATACAACCGTATAATAATAAAAAATACCAAGTCGTCTTTCAGTATGGGAGAAGGAATGAATATCAATAACACGTGCACTGAAAAAATTCAAGGTAAATATAATATGTGGACTGACCTGCAAGCATCTTCGCTTTTCTCCAAAAACTCCTCCACAGTCCAGATTTCATCTTCTAAATTAAAGAAAATACAAAGACAAACTATAAGAAAGCATGTCTGGTAAGATATTGTAGGTACGTATTGCTTTGTATKTTTACATATATTATTTTCCACAGGAATTAAAGATATAATTATCTACAAATAGGTATGTACTTATTCTTACCTGCAGGCAAAACCTGTAAAGAGACGTCCTGCATCCACATGAGCACATTTAATATTCGGTTAGAGTAGATGTCGTGCACACGTGCTACGAGTACATTAAAAGTCTCGATTGCCCGTTTACAACGTTCATAGAACTCCGTCCAATTTTGATGAGTCCACTTTAAAATAAATAAATGAAATTCTCAAAAACAAGTCCTGCGAGTATAAAGGTGACTAGAGGAAGCGGTCGTAGAGACTTATTGTGGTAATTTAATTGAATTATGTTACTGAGCTAATGACAACTGATAAAGCATGAAGAGCTGACATCCTCAGGATGCTCAACAACATAATTCTAACTTACATTTATTGTGTGGAGGCCAGGCTTTAACATTGCTGTTAGGCGCACCAATTGTGGCAGAAACAAAGGACGCACTTCCAATTTGACGGCGCGCACGGTTGTCAAAAACATTTTGATCAAGCACTGTAAGCAATCAATTTGAATAAACGTAGTGGATGCCGTACGTAGTACGAGTATGTCCTTCACTCACATTCAACGAGTCCTGTATAGTAGTGAAATACTTTTGCCGGCTCATCAGTGTGGCCGCCACAATTGGCAATTCAACATTTAACTTAGCCAACATCTTAGCTTCGCGTATCAGCAGGGGTATAGTGGGATGCAAATTGACGATTAAGCGATCACCTTGAAGAGCTAACAGTGGCTGTAGTAGACACGCATCGGCAACGCTAACCTATGGTTAATAATTGTCTAATTATATCAATTTTTCCAGCTTTTCTTACATCTTACATCCTGATCTAGCCAAATGGACACAATCTCGATTTCGAACTCTCTTAATAACGTTGTGACATTATTATAGCGATTCTCTAAGTCTTTTGTTAACGGTAATCCACTCAGCACCTTATGATCGAGTACGGCCTCCATCAGTTCTTTCATATGGTCATCCAATGCGCGACTCCAACGGATACGTCCGGCAATTGGCGGGAAATTTCTACAAACGGGCGGATCATCACGTTGTTTCCTAAACATTTTATTCACCCTGTCTATTTCCTTATCCACATATTTTATAATGCGCACATACTTTTCATCCATCCGACTGAGTGGTATCTTCTCACTAACCTTTTCAAAACGGGTAAGAAATCGGATGCATTGTGGTGTCTCCCACACCGTGTCAAAATTCGTTTCAATAAGTTTGGCTATAGTGTCCTTTAGTGCGTCGGTTTTGTTTATAAAACGTTCGAAATCGTTATTGAACTCGCCATTTCGATGATCCAAGTAATCATATTTCTTCGATAAAATCTCTTTCTTAGCTTCCTCAAAATGATTGCTGGCATCCTGTAGTGTTTCACCTAGCAATAGACCCTCCAAACGACGTTCGAATAGGTGAGTATAATCTTCGATCAGATTGAACATAGAAATAATTTTCGAAAGACGGTCGCAAAATGTATCAAATTTTCCAAAAACGAAATTTTCCGAAAAACCAAACGGAGTTTGATTAGGCAGAAAGGGTTGCTCCCTTACAGTGTAGTATGTTTCATGGTATATATGATTAAGCTTAATGCAATTGCCTAATTTTGTACGTATAACATTGCGATCTTGTGACCAAATAGTCTCTTTACATCGACATGTTATGTAGGACTTGCAAGTCTCAATCATTTGGTTAGTAATCTGTAAAAATATTATAACAAAACAAGTAAACAAAGGTATTTCTCTAACTCTAACGTTAAGGATATAAAAAATAAGAATATAAAATATGTTGAGCARTTTGCTTAAATATTGGAATACTTCCCAACTAAAATATACCAAGATATTTTTGACTTACGATATTAAAAATATTTTATATGAAGAAAAGAAAAACATGGAGAGGATTTAATTACATATATATGTACCACTAAACATGTTTGCTCTGATTTTTTTATGCTGACAAATTTTTTTACAAATTCGTCACACTTGAGGCCACAGCTAGTATCAAATCTCAAAAAAATCGCTTTTTAGGTTTTGGATGATTCGATACTCTACATATACCTTTAAAAACAACAAACTATATTTTTCAAATTGCCACAATCTTATAACTAAGGGAATAAAACCATTGYAGACCAGTGTTAAAGAAATAACAATTAAAATACGAACCTTCACCATGAGGGAAGAGGTTCTCTCGGATGTGTTATAAAATTGTGAAACACTATAGATAAGGCGCACCGTTTGAAGTAGACTTAGTATGGACTGTTTCATGCAGACCTTTTAAAGAAAGAATAATAAAAATTAGAATCTAGTAAATATGATACATTTAAGATTTATTTAAGCAATACAATTTGGAACAAAAACGGATTATATTAAAAAAAATTGCATACCGGATCATCTAAATACAGAGAGTGACAACACGTTTCCATTGCCTGAATGAATTTTGAGTTATCACGTGCTTCGTTGTAACAGAATGTTATTTTTCGATCGGTTTCTTTCCATACTCGCATAATGCGGGAGCCAGACAAAAACAAGCAATGTAATGTATATTGCACCTCACGATCTTGCAAATGTGCCAGCAATTGCGAAAATTGAGCACCTCGCTTCTTCCAATACTCCAACTCATCCTGTGGTCCACTTGAATCGTTTTCTTTGCGCAATTGTTCGCTTTCACCAAGTATCTTCATAACACCTTTTATCCAATTATTTACGCGCTCTTCCAGTTGCACACAAAAGTCTTGATTTTTCGCCATATCCTTGACCTCTTCGACGTGTTCGATCTTCTCGAACATATCACATTTGTCGTCAAATATATTAACATGATCGCAAACTTGCTCACAAACACGTAAAGCACTGCAAAATGATCTCAAACCCGGTAACAACTGTCCTTTTATCAGTCCGCAACTTACATCATCCTCATCCCCTTCCAAACTAGGGAATGCTAAGGCTTGCATGAATACATACTCAACTATACGCTCAATAGAGGTAACAAGTCCGATATTTTTCGCGTCGATAACGCCGCAGTATCTGATAATGACAGGTTAAGAAAAAAGTTGTACGAATGTATAGTATATGCGACCTAGTCTACGGAAAGGGGGCTTAGGTGTCAAAAAATCAATTTTCACTTTTTAGTTGATTCGGATGGAAGATGAGATGCTATTTTTTTTTAACAGCTGTTTCCCAGAAAACTAGTTTTCGCACGTTAGCTCCCTTTTCGTAGACCAGGTCACATATACATATATATATGAATATATAAAAATATAAGAAAGATGTTTATAAAACAATAAAAAGCGGTCTATTCCTGGACAGCGGGCTACTTGTAAGCTCAGCAAACACTCCATTAAGCGAATTGAGCTAGTTACAGTAGTGAGGGGCGTAAGACGTTTCAACAGTGCAAATTTATTTTCTTTTTAGAAGCTTAGTTTCTAGAGTTTCCCAGCATTCTTCAGAATTCCTTTTTTATCTTTTGACCAAAATAATCGAATAATCGAATAATCGCAGTTCATAGACATGTATTGTGTGTATTCGTACATAAAACAACATATTTGTTTTGGGATACAATGAGTATGTTTGTGTGTATATATCTGTTTTGGAAAACACATAATAAGACGGGCATTAGCTAAAAGTAATAACTCATGTAAATAACATTTTGTGTAAAAGAAAAAAGCAAATTAACCTCTGTAGGGTTTACACCTATGTTAAACCTATCAAACTTACAAATCCTTTTGAAATCCTTCCTCGGGCAATTGTTTTGAAGTATTCACGCGAAAGATGTAAATACAAATCCCGGTAAAAGCACAAGTCCATCCATCAGTTAGAAACAATTTTTTCGGCTTCGGCGGCGAAAATCCGCTGGGTGATGACCCTGTTAAATAACGGAACCCAACACAACAGAGAATATTAATAAGCCAATAATAAAATGAAGCATCCATTCATATACATATCTTTGTATGTCTTTTCAAACGTTTATGAATATATAAGTATATATAATATGTACATATGTCGTTTATCGTTAAGGATATGGTATGGGTTTGAACAGATAATTTATGTGTACACACATAAATATATATACATAGATATATACTTATATAAATACAAAGTTTATTTCATTAGTGAAATAATGTCTTTTTACTTTTTTATATGTATGTATGTATTTTTTTTTTTTTTTTTTTTTTTTTTTTTTTTTTTTTTTTTTTTTTTTTTTTTTTTTTTTTTTTTTTTTTTTTTGTTGAGTACCCTGTGGTGTTTTTGAGCAGCTCGATGCGATGCCACTACGCGAGGGTCCAGGTTTGTTGGGATCCTGCGCTGGTTGTGGATCAGGCTCGTCGACCTCCTGATAAAACCACAGAAGTTTATTTTTCATATTGGGTAAAAAGAGTTGATTGATTTCGTCCAACTAACGGATAAAAAGTGAATTATGTGTTACTTCGTGTGAATATAAAATTAAGAAAACTAACTACGCATATGTATGTGTACATGCAAGTAAATGCCTTCGGAAAGATCATTTTCATTAAAGAAATATAGCCCTTTATACGCTGTTAATAGTATTCCAAAAAACAAGACAGAAATGTAAATGAATTGTATATCATTAACAGTGGCGGAGAGAGASGGGTAGATGGGGGACAATTCCTTTCATGCCCGGTCCTCTCCAATGATTATTTACATTTTACGTCCTCCCTTGGTTCGGTTTTCTATTTACGACCTGAATCATCAAAAAGGATAAGAATTATAATTTTATTTTATATGTTTTTATTTGCTCTACTGTATTCCCCATACTAATAAAACTGTTAAACTTTATTTTATTTGACCAATAACTGTTAATAAAAAAAACTACAATGCCGTTTTGATATTTCATTATTAGCAAATTTGTTTGTTGCTTTAAAAAACATATTATATAATACCATTTTTTTACAGTATCATTATTATATAACCGAAATAAGTATTAAAACAAAACGTCTGCACTTTAGGGAGTGAGCTCAATAAAAAACACAATCACATACAGACATACATACGTATGTTACAGAACTTATTATAATTCTTTTTTGAGCGTAACTCCTTACTTTGTGTAAAACGGGGGCATTCGCTGAAAAAATGCATCATGTACATACACACACACATATGTATGTATGTTTATTGCAGTATTGCCGCTTCATTACTTTATGAGTACCTACCATGTCCCCCTCGAATATATAATCCATCAGTTGATGCCTTGGCAGTTGAGTTGCATCTATTAACAGTTGGAATGTGAACTCCAAACGGGGATCCATTTCCCCTCGTCGAGCTTTTCGTTCGCATTCTTCACGGCGTCTCTGTGCTTCGTCAGCGTCGGTAGCCATTATTTTTCATTTAAGTTATTTTTTATGATTTGTTAGTTGAATCCGTTTGTTTAAATTCAGTAACAGGATATATTTCCAAGTATTTTTACACCGACTCACGCAATGATATCAATTTGGTTAAAATAAGCATGTATACATACATAAATATGTACATATATGTATGGGGGTGTGTATATTTTGGTTATATGTTGTGGATCACCAAAGGATACAATTAACATCCGCAAAAAGCAAAAATATCGGAAATACCAAAAATGGAATTAGTGCATAAAATTTAAAAAGGTTAGATAAAGAGGTTATAAGCCCGATTTTCTGGTTATATGCATAAATACATTTAAAAACTACTGAATTCCAACGACAAAATGCAAAATGCCTAATCAGATTTCAAAATACTAACCAGACAAATGAAAAGTCTCAAAAACTTATACGTATAGATAGGTCTGTACATCTTTTGGGAAATAAATCGAAAATATGTTTAAAGCATAATTAAACAAGAAACATATTCTGTAAAGAGAAAAGTTAAGTCAAAGTAGGCATTACTAATTAATGTCGCAAAACTCATCATCATCTACAGTGATGAGGAAGACTATAAAAAGAAACTTAATTCTTTCTTGTTAACTGTAAAATTATTCATTTACAATTATATTTCCATTTTTTCTGTCCATCTTTATGAGAGAATTTGCCACAATTCCGCATCAGTATCAATATCAAAAAATAAATACAAATTCCGTTCCGACATTCCACTTTTTTAGATTTTTATAATTCTCTCTCTTATCTTAATAAGTATCCCAAACAATTTACAATTATATTAATTCAATATACAATCTAAATTGAAATGATATTTACTTTTCATATTCGACAATATGAACTTTGTTTCAGTTTTTCCGCGATAACCAGTTCCGTCCCTCATCATAAAATTGCTTTCTCCTAGTTTCGATAACTTAAARCATGCGATATATGTATATTTTTAATTTTTTTCTAAATTGGCGAGCAAATCGCGTCCTCATTTTCTCCATTTTATTTGTAAGCTCGCAATCTTAGCTCACAGCCGTCTATGAGAGGTCTATTTCTTTGGATTGAAATTCGAAATTAGCTGTTCTGTGGAAACCGTATTTCTTTCAAAAACTTAACTTATCCTATATTTAACGTAAACGAGAACAAAAAATTTAATTAAATTATTTTGAAATTATTACGCAATACACAGTTCTTAGTTCATGATTTTTTAGAGCATAGTAATTTTATAGAAGTAGGATTATAAAACAGAAAAAAATCAAATCTATTAATAGCGCCTTAGAGAACACGATTTTAACAAATTTTGTTTATGTAAAACTGCCATACATACTATACATATACTATCTATATTTTTTATATTTTCTTCTTAGGAATTACATATGTATGTATGTATGAACTGTCATTCGAAAACACTGCCAAATAAATGAATTTTGTCAGATGTTGGGTAGTATATATGAATGCGGACACAACATTAAAAAAAATGCTGCGAAATTACATAATATACGAATAATGCACATCAAGTTCTTGCATAATTACATATATTCCTGGACCTGTGTGTGAGTACAACTAACAACATTTATATTATGAAAATACATATATTAAATTTTTAATATTTTACTACAAATTCWTAGTAGTATAATTAGATAGCAGGATTTCACCTGCAATGCATCGCCTCCTTCTTCCTCCTCCTCGGAGCTGCTGTCGCCACGTATTGCTGCCGCATGCTGGGCGAACTGCGCTCGAGTGTTTTTATGTACAAACATTGTATTCGCACTGCGATTTACATTTGACACAAAAACGTGCACAAAAATCAAAATTTAAAGCTCGAAATTAACAGATTTCAAACACAAAATTTGTCTAAATTTAGATAGTTACTGTATTCAACGTATTATGAGTGACGATTGAATCGACAATGCCTTTTATACTCAAATAAACATTTGCAGATACTGCCTAGATATTTGGAATACATCGATCAAACAAGACTGATTCCATAGGTATTCTAACTGAAATCTCCTTACCCTGCTGGAAATTTCAATAGCAAAGRTATATTCGATTTATTGTATTAAATATATTTTCAAAAATACCGATGGTACTTATTGGCTTTRCACGAACTATGTGATATAATCTCCAGGTATGTATTTACACCATGGCTTACTATTTTATAAGAATCTGATGTATAAAGTCTAAATAAAACTAAATGTTAAATCTTATTTACATATGTATGTATGTATCGGTGTACTGGAGACTCAAGAGCTGAAATCTTGAAAAACCAAGAAAAGTAAACTGCGGTTAAGCCTAAGTTATAATACGCTTCACAGGTGCGTTTCTAAATGGAACTATGTGGGGACTATGGGGACCAATGATTTGTATCTAACGTAAAATTGTTTGCCTGTACAGCCACAATAATCCATGTCAAATTTCGTAAAGAAATCTTGTCAAATAAGAAACATACGTACTTTATTTTAATGGACTAGTTTGTATGGAAGATGTATGAAGATTCAGATCAATATATCAAATGTTAATGAACTAGTTGACTACATACGTATATACAGACGGATCGACTCAGCTCGCCATGCTGCTCTTTTATATATGCACATTTTTTATAGGTCTGCGAAGTTACCTTCTTCGTGGTAAGATTACAGGCTATATGTATGTTCAGCATATAATTAAGTTATTACATCGCCATCGTAAAATAATGCCTTAATAGAGTATTATTGTATTTACTCTTAACTTCGGTACGTTAAACACTGTTTACGTGTATATATGTATAAATAAATATCTATATGTGAGAATAAGATATTCAAATTCAGATAAATTATTTTCCAATAATAATGTGGAGGATGTAGAAGTTCACGCAAGTGAGGAAAGTTCTCTGATAGCCATTCACTTACGAGTGGCCAGAAACGACTCTTTTACCTACTTGGCCCAAGCAACTTCCGACTTCCGGTCTGAGACCAAGTATCCTCTTGGTAGCCAAAGAACATCCATTTGAAGGCGAGCTAAAGTGATAAGGCGAACCAGCCCTAGTCAGGGTTGTACGCTGGACTTGGGGTCTGTGACGTGAAAAACGTCCCCAATGAAAAGTAAACAACAGTCTCGGAAGAAAGCCGTCAGGGAAAGCAGAGTAAGAGAAAACCTCCACTCCGTTGGAAAGATAAGGTGAAGAAGAAGAAACGACTTGCACGCTGTTGTTTATTCGGCTATAACAACGTAAGCGGTGTCTACGCCAGTAATGAAAAATAATGTGCTTTTTTGTCCAAAATGGGTAAAATCGGCTACCTATGTATATACTATATATAATCATTTATCGAAAATAAGGATTTTACTGCTTCCAGTTGACTTTATATTGTATATATCGTTCGATATGTGATTTATCTCAGAAACCATCTTTATCTTTTTAGTATGTCGTGATGCCAAAAATATAAAAAAATTCAATTTTAATGAAATTATTCGGTCAATGTTTAATGGTTTATATGGTTTAGCGCTGATAATGAATGAAAATTTCCGACGCTCTAGTTGACTTTTGCCATTGATCCTTCACTAGAACTCAAATCTCGCATTTATTAAGYTTTTATTTAATATCAAAGACATCAATAACAGACACAGACAGTAATTTACCGCTGCGGCCTTTATATAGAGTTTGCAGATACCATAAAGCATATTATCAAATTTTTCCCTTCATTTAAGGCGCTTTCACATAAAACTTTCCTCGCTCTGCATAACAAATCATTCCAGGGATAAATCTCTGATTCACTCTTTGGCAAGACTTTCTCTAATGAAAATAGCGACTGTTGCTTGTCAAAGCATAAAAAGATAAGAGTTGCCTAAAATGCTTGCTTGCTGTGTTTCGCTTTGATGTAAATGTACTCAGACCAAAGAATACAGGCATATTTTCGAGAAATATTTTATCTGGCAATGCTATTTGATAGCATTTGCTAAATAATTTCATTATCACAGCCGAAATTAAATTAGAAATGTGTGTTGTTTTTGTACTTAAATAATTATGTACACAATAATTAATTATAATAATCAAGAATAATATATCTGAATTAGTTAGCATTTTGGTAAAAATTTATCTTAAAATAAGTATTTTAATACTATCTTAATGGCAACACATTTTGAGATAAGGTTCAAATGTCATTCTTACTTTCATTCGGTATTTTCAACTTGTTCATTAATCTGACATATCTTTTATAAGTATTTAATTGCTTATTAATATTTCATTTAAGTTACAAAAGATGTTAATGGGAGAGGAAATACATTCACATAATCATTTGGATTCGGTTGATTTTAATATGATTACCGAGCATATGGGAGACTTCAACGTAAAAGAAGAAATTGATTTGTTTCTTATCGAATTAACATGTTGATTTTGCCATTTTTCCTCGTTTTCTATACACAGTTGGTGATAATGCTTATTAACGTTTTCTTTGCAGACATCTGCATTACATAGAAAGCTGATGAGCAAGGTGGAAGCTCTACGCATTATACGCAAAGAATTGGAACAATTTCGGACAGAACGTGACCAATTCAAATTGATGGCAGAAACGTTGCAACTAAGGTATTCTGCCTTAACGCGCAATAATGGGTACAGTGGGTGCGTGGGTATAGACGGTAATAAATCTACTGTTGCGTCAATATTACATGAGACCCGCGAAAGAAATATAAAACTAACCACCGAAGTAGAATCTCTGAAACAAAAATTAAACGAACTACGTGGTGATATAGAACTTCTTAGATCATCCAGCAAAGAAGGAAATTGTGAAAAAGCACAAATGGACATGGCTGATGATACTAATAGCGAAGCTCTTCAATGGAAGAAAGAACGATCAAGTTTTATTTGCCATTTGGAAAACTTAAAAAAGAAGGTTTTAAAATATTTTTCTTCACTTAATTCGTATTCAATTAGAGATTATGTTTTAGAATTTGCAACTAGCCTTTGATTTAAAAACTTTGATTGCTGAGAAAGAAGATATCATATCTGAACGAGATGCTTACAAATGTAAGGCTCATCGATTAAACCATGCGTTGTTAAATGCACTGAACGCGAACAAAGCGCATCCACAGGTAATCTTTCTAAATCTTATAACTAGCGAAATACTACAATCTAAAATTTTATTTATAACGTAGTTCCTTGATATTGATGGCATATTACTGGAAAATAAGTACCTGCATGAACGTTTAAAAAACTATGAAAGCGAGCTTGATATAACCAAACAATCGTTAACCAAATACAAGGTAAAAATAATCGACAAAATGATGATTAATTTACAGACGTAAATTTGCGGTGATATATCTAAAACATTTTTTCACTAAAGAACTAATACTAAATTTAACTTATTGCATGCTTCAAAGACTATGTTGGAAACGAAGCGTAAGAAGGGTATAATTAAACTAGGTTCTAGTGCAAATGATGAAAGTATTTTATCTCATAAACAAGGTAAAACATTAGTATGTTTGTCAAACCATTGTTGTTGTGTAAAGTTAAATGTAGTCCCATTTTTTTCAATAGAAATCGTATATTTTAATATATTTAGCTAAATTTGATACCCAATTCTTAATATTCATAGTTAAAACAATGCTTGAGAATGGTGTGGACTTGCCCACAAAAACCGAAACAATTCAAGACTTAAAATATCTTTGTTTGGCTCTGCTGGATAATTTAAACGATAAACATATTGCCTTAAACCATCAGAAAAAAACCAACAAGTAAGAACAGATGCTGATGTCACAAATTAAAACATATTGATGCCTTTTTAGCATTCGAAAATTATTTTTTTATTAATAACTATATATATATTTTTTTTTTTTAAGTTATCAATATACTTATTATTCATTAAAACTCATTTAATGATTGAACAAAGGTTAAATCAAATTTTTAAGGGGATAAACAAAGCAGCTTAGAAACTTTTGCTTTAATTTAACTAATTAATGGGCGCCTTAAAATCAAAATATTGCAATATTCCATTCACTATTGTGATGTGGGGGAAATTATTCGGAATTTGTTTATCATTATAATGCGGTTTGTTTCTAATTCAATCATTTTATATAATATACCCTCATAGGATTCTTGCGGCAAAAATTGCTGAATTGGACCAACGCATTCAGTGTTTATCAGGCATTGAAACTACAACTGGAACAACATCATCTTGCATTAGTGAATACTCACCTACTCAGTTATTGCTGCAAGACTATAGTGCTTCATCTGTGGACTCGAGTGACATATTAGAAACAGACACAGTAACACCAACCACACCTAATCCGAAATATTCAGTAATCCTTAAATTAAACGATACTGAAACTTTGACAACTGAAAATGAAGATTCAAAAACGTCTCGTTTGGGTATATCAGAAGACTGTGTAGACTCTCTCTCAACAGAATCTGGCCGGAGTATATTATCTTCAGAGTACGGCGGTTTCGCAGAAGCTTTAGGTATACGTAACCTCAACGAATTCTCCAAAGCTGCCATAGATGCGCACAAGACACCATCTACCACCACAGAATCGGGAGATAACTCAAGCACAAAATATAATTCAAATTCTCAGTCACATCACGTAAACAGAGATATCGCTAGAGAAAGGTATAACGATTTAAAAGACTTACCACCAGAGCTGGCTGCAATGGTACAGCAAGCACTCCATGAATTGGATATGCGTGATTTTGATGAAATCGTGAACATAAATGTAAGTGACTATGACAGAGCAGATAATGCAAAAGTATTCCCAAATATTGCCACTTCATATGAAGTTGACAAAAGAGGAGAAAAATCACAAACAGAAGTTTAAAAGATTTTTCTGCCATTAAATTTTTAAAATAGGTAAATTTTATCCAAAAGTTATTTTTTAAAACATCCGCAAGTACAATACAAAAAGTGTACTTTAATAATTATAGAATTACACAGAAATATGTATATGTATATTTGATTATTATACATTTCAGTGACGAAATTTAAAACAACAATTTAAATTAAAATATAGTATATGCTTCTACAATAAATAAAGAAACTAATTCTTGTCAATTTTATATTACTTATTTCTTGTATTTGGCCCTTTTCTATAGATCCACCTAACATAGTACAATCACAGAAAAAATTGGTAACTTTTTGGAATACTAGCAAATGACTATGCCAATGGTGACGTACACATATTTTTTAGAATACAATACAATGATTTTCATATTGCTAAAAGTTATTTAGGACGCAACATGGCTTTTGAGAAGAGAATGATTCTACGTATCAATAATTATAAAAATAGTGTATAACTATTATACAAATATTAACACACGTGGTAAGTTTTGAGTATGACATTTTTATTAAGCACGTAAATATAGTGTATTTCTTACCATATAATTTAACGTGGTTTTTCAATTGAGTGTTATTCGATTTTAAATATATATTTAACGTGTGATCAATCATGAAAATCTAATTTCGACAAAATTATTTAGACACATCTTCTTCTTGATTTATTTAGACACACATGTATTATAAAACTGACAGTGACTTAGTGAATAGCGGGCATTCTAAAATAAACCAAAACCCACAATTAATCCATTTATTGAATAATTATGGCCGCGCAATAGAAATGTGTATGAATACATAGATACACAAATATATACTTATAGTTTTCATTGTAGTGGCTGTATAAATAAAAAAAATATTTACATTTTCCAACTAAATAAATTATTTGACTAGCTTTTCTCTATTAAGATTGTTTATAATTTCAAATGTTACGTGTCACTCACTTTAAGACATTTTATACATTCTTTAGCATGTCCATTTTAAATGCAACCAATTTCATTCCCAAATTATACATAATAATTTATTTAATAGAAACTTATTCACACCCGTTTGGTGATATACAATATTCACACCCCGCATAATTTCGCAATGAAGTTTAAATAATTTTCAAATAATAACGATTATTCGCCTGTGCATCGAAATCGTTTCAAATAGAATATAATAATTGTCTTTTCCGTAAAAAAACTTCTTTGCTGAATTACAGTTTTACACCTAAGGCGTTATTTTCTAATAATTTAACTCCCCTTTCACTCTTCACATAATATTCGTATGGTAATTGAATGAAAATATATAAAAGGAATAAAATTATGATGGTAGAAATGAACTGAAATGATTGTAAATAAATTGTAAGCTCTGAAACGAAAGTATTTATCACGTCTTCTGCTTAGTTAGTAACAACGGCACAAAACCTCTCCAAATCTAAATAAAAGTAATATATTTCAATGGCAGAGCTTTTTTGCTGTCTCCTTTAGATGCATATCAATTGATAAATGACATATAATTAGTGAAGAGCACATAGTTCTCTACTAACCGCGCGCACAATTCCTGACGCACAGCTGCTGTAAATTTATTCACCAAGCAGAGCGCTGTCGTGGTGCCAAAGACTAAATTATAAAGTAAAACAATTTGAAAGTTGCCTAACCACTCGATAGCACCAAAATCCCCCAATAAATCGAAATTTGTAATGCCTGAAATAAAAATGTATAATTAATAAACTTTTATATATGAAGACGTTTGTAACTCACCAATAATTCTACTGAGCAGCGGCAATGCTGAACTTAATATTAAAACTAGCGCACAATTAAGTATTAATTGTGCGAGAGAAGTCTTTCGTTTTTGTGGACAAACATTGCGCATAAAAGGCATGGTATAAAAGCCAACAACAGAAGTCGCACCTAAATAGAAAATTAAACACACTTCTAAACCTGCTCCAAAGGGTCCCATCTTCGATAGCGAAGTGATGCCAAGCGTAAATTGCTGAATGAAGGTAAAAGAAAGGCGATGTTAACGTATTAATTTTTCTCGTCTCGTCAAATATTAATACTAAGTAACAACAAATACTCACCCGAGTGCTTAGCGGTAATGCTTTTATTCCAATTAGCAACTCTAGTGTATTTTGGACTACCAACAAAACAGTTATACCGGTGAAAAAGAGCAACAACAACATTGCCAGAGGATATACGAAATTTCGTTGAAACGCCGATGACTTGCGTAGTTTCTCCAACTCTCTACTTTCAGACTCCAATTCTCTCAGTCTTTGTTTGAGCTTCTGTTGCTCGGTTTGGTGATTTTCCAAAGGTTTTCTTTGATAAAGATGCCGCAACGACGTATGAGGATAATATCCACGAACATTTGTATAACCAGTGCTATAATCGTTGTGTAAACTGCCCGCGCTGCCGTTGCTGCTGATACTAATATTTAGTAGTTCAATGTTTGCAATTTTGCGCTTTAAACTGGCGATTTCCATGTAAAACACTTGGTATTCTTCATTTACGTCGCGAAGTAAATGTGGCTTCACAAGTACTTGTCCCACAACTCCAAAGAGGCGAACGAAACCAAGCGGTGTGCAAACTATTGAAATAATACAAAATTAATTGTAAAAATAAGCATTTAACATATAAAAAGACAGTACACTAAGTTTTCACAACAAAACTTCGCCACATTTACCATCGAAACAATTACCCTAGAAACGAGTGGTTGTGGTTGTACATGCCAAACAAACAAAATAAATTTTACTTTTAAAATAGCTCTCACAAAGGAGTTGATGACGAATAAATTGTATAGTTCAATTTTAAAATTTATACACATACATATATAATAAAATTAATATGGCGCAGGGAGATATGGATGAGGACTTTCTTAACTTTGAATCCAAAGTAAATCAGGTAATGAAACTATTGGAGGATATGGCGGCCGCAAACAAAACGGATGCAGAAAGTGCTGCTAAAAAGCCAGAAACGTAAGATTACCAAAAAAAAGGTACATATATGCCAAACAAATGTACATACAAACTTTTCACATTTTATAGAAAGTCCGAAATTAATCAGGATAATTTCATTGTCAATGTTCGTCAAGACCGCACAGTTCTCAATCGCAAAGCGGGTCAAAAAGACCCAACAGACACTGGAGGTCCACAACAAATGGACAAGTACACATTTATGCAGCAGATGGAACAGGATTCCGCCGAAAGAACCAAGATTCGACAAGAACGTGAGCGTATTGCTCAAAACTTTCGTAGGTAAATGCGTTAAGTTTAAGTAAATGTATGATTTTGGAACTATTTATTTGCGGGAAATATCTTTATCTCCACCAAGCATGGGCAACGATGCTTATCGTAAGCAGAACTATGAAAAGGCAATACAAATGTATACAAAAGCAATTGAACACGTAAAAGACAGTCCTATATTATACAACAACCGAGCGCTATGTTATCTTAAGTAATTATTTTTATACACATTTTTGTTATAACATCTTAACCACATTATGTACGATATAGGTTGAGAAACTCTAAACGGGCCATTATTGATGCTGATTACGTAATTAATAAATTGGACGAGAAGAATTTGCGATCGTGGTTGTACAGAGCAGCTGCTTATCTGAGATTGGGTGATGAAAAAAACTACGAGAACAGCATTAAATTCGCAAAGAAAAATAATACTAAAGAAATCAGTTATATAACTGCATTTCAAGAAAAACTCAGAACTGATTTCTAAATTTATTATATTTTATTATTTTCAACTTTTCACCCAAATATATGTATTTACTTATGTTTAACTCTTTGTGTCTTCATATTTTCGTGATACTTACCGAGTAATAACAGCACTCCCATAAATGATACACACGAATACAGAAATGGTAAATGCACACTGCCTAAATCTGGAAGGAATCCAAGAAAAATTTCAAAGTTTTGCAATGAATCTCGCTCCATTTGACAATATGCTGACAGACAGTTAAACTTTTTTATACTTGATTGTCAATAATAAACATACTTAGCAGTGATAAAAACCCGATTCTGCCTGGATCCATAACAGCAGAGAGTACATAAGTAATGCCTAAAACCACCGTGGCTAAGAGGCTAAATACTGTAAATGTTTCATAAGCGCGCGCAATTATACCCTTCTTATGCCCAACGAAACCAGTAGATTCCGTAAAGAGATACGCAAATGGCAAAAATACAAATAAGGAAAGATTGGAAAATAAAAATATATGATTCCAAAGACCTGCAATTATAGTGACTATAGTTATCTAAACAACAACAACTAGGCAAATAAACTAATTAATTACCTTGTATCAAAGAACTATTGAGCCATTTCACATAATAGCTGTTAGGGTACAGCAACAGAACCTCATTGCTTGCTATTGAAATCGGGAGCAGAAGGGCGGCGCCAACAGCGATCGCCATAGAAAATGTACACAGCCAAGAGCTATAAGCAATCAAACCAAACAAAGTATAACAAAAGTATGTATGTACATATGTATGTTCGAAGCGAATTATACAAAATATATTTATTTAAAAAGTGTTTAACAAATAACTATAGAATTATTGTCATTTTTTATCATTTGTACATATTATATGTATATGCATTACATACCTTATACGATAGACGAGCACTTCATCTTCATCCGTGGAAAATAGATCTTCACGATCTTTCCGGCGAAAGCGCGTTATCAGCGCATAGGAGGCAAGATACAGCAACATTAAAAGCAGTAGAAATATCTACGAAGAATCAAATAATTTTGTTATATTTGGAGTTGTTAATGGTAAGCGAATAAAAGCAAAGATGTTATAAAAAGTGTATGCATATATAGTATATGTACATATAATAAATTAACCTATCTTAAAAACTTAAATATTCATAGAAATATGTTTGCCCGTCAGTGTAAACTGTAACTTCAATAAAAATGAGATATATTGATGAAATTTCGTAGATGGACGTAATCAGACCACTCCCCCGCTCACATAACGCAATTAACCGAAAGTTATAGAGTGCCATAACCAAGCACTAAATTAATAAATGCTAAACTTTTATTTGCCACAAGGAATCGCCCATATAACATAATTTTAAATTCCATTGATATTTGTGTATCGAAAATTTTTTGAATCGGGTCAATACCTTCTGAAGCCCCTAATAACTATATAACGATTTTCGAACTTCCAGGTGACGTTATGTTGGATATATCGGCCAATATTTAAGCTATCTCAATGAAAATTACAAAACATGTTTTTTGTGCAGAAATAATTAAAATTAGCTGCCATATAACTAATATCAGGATTTCGAACATCCGGCTGACTTTGCTCCATATGATTGGTGTTCGTGGTGAGGTAAATGAAACCACAGGAACATTTTTTTACTATGTGGCGTGATAATAGTTAATAGATAAAATAGGGTCGATAGTAACCCAACTCCCATATACTATATGTATATTGAGTTATATTTAGTATATGTAAATATACAATTGCTTGGATTTCGATCGTCTAGTTGATGTTTTACACCTTAGGGATTTCCCTGGTATGTTAAACTACTAAAATTATTTCAAATATATTACATGTGCGTAAAGGAGAATTGGTCATTTATTGTTCAATAAATTCCAATGATAATGAAAACAATTCAGTTGATAAGTACAATATTCACACAGATAATTCAATCAATAAAGGAATGATGCGTGGACTTTGCGATAAGAATATAACAAGATATCAAACACACGATTATGCAAAATATGCGAGGAAACTAAACTTTGATCAGATATACAAATACCTCGAAAGTTTTTATTTTTGTACCCTTGCAAGACATGGTACATCATACTATTTTTTTTAACTAAAGATTATAACACATAAATCTAATCGAGGCAGATATGTGTAGGTGTATATGATGGTGAGATGTGGACAACTTAATAACAATGCCAAAGACTCAAATTCGGAGTAGTTAAAAAAATGAGTTATCTACTATGACCTTATATCCCTCTGCGAATGGCAGACACCTTGTCGTGGTGGAGGGTCTTAGGCCGCAAGCCATATTCGGCATCTCCCAACAAACATGAGCGGTGCTGTATGGCACCACTACAGCGGCTTATCAGAAGCTGAATGCGTGCGGCGACCAAATGTCACCTCCTAATCCGGACTGTTATGAGACTCTCGTTGGATGATTTGCAGCCAGGAGGTGAATTCGCCTGTATTTTAACAGGACCTTCCCAACACCGGGACGAATTGGAAAGTAACGTTGGGGTACTAAAAACGCACGGCTTGACGACCCTCGTATGGAGGGCATTAGCGGTTTCAGCCTTAAGTGGTGCCTGAGGCACCTCCAGGAGGGGAAAACTCCTAAGGTAGCTCGAGCCATTGCCAGGTTAATGCAATCTGACCGCCAGGTGAGGTAGCGAAAAGGTGTCACCTTCGACCACCCAAACCGAGAAACAAAAAAGCAGTCAAATAACGCCACAGAAACCTCCTATCAATAAAAGGCTGAGAGGTAACAACGCACAGACGGCAGGAGAAGAGCCCTAGAACTTTTAGGGCGAACTTCGTCCTGGCTGCAACCTACTTTCAGAGAGAGGTGAGTTACTGCAGGCGAGAAAAGCCTCCCCTGATCATTAGATGTGATGCAAACGCCCCGGAATGGGACAGTGAGGCCTTCAATACATAAGATTAGTCTCTCTTAGAGTATATCATTAGTAGCAACTTCTTGTTATAGCCGAGTTAGCAACAGCGCTCCAATATTAGAAACTCTAAGCGATGCCAGGTCTTACTTCACCTGCTCTTTCCCCCGAGCGGGTACTGCGTCGAATTCTTTCAGAGCTGGAGTGTTTGTGCGACCTAGCCAGCGTAACCGTTTTTAATTTGCTGAACTATATCAATGTCGTCGTATATCCCTTACAGCTCGTCGTTCCATCGAATGCGATATTCGCAGAACTTTTCTCTCGAAAACTCGTATCGTCCATGCCTTTGCATCATATAGCAGGACGGGACGAAATTATTTACAACTTCGAAGTTATGACTGTCAACAGCGTCGTGGGTGCCTAACGCGAGTACAACGGCTGCGTGTTTGATGACAGGAGATATTTCGCCTTGCCCACAGGTAAATGTCATAATGGAAAATGGAGCGGTCAGTATTCTGAAAATGGCGTGAGTTTGCATTACGGCTTGCAGTGCCAGCAGCTGATGTAAATGGCTAAAATATAAGAAATGAAGTGTGACAACAGGAATGTCGGCAGCAACCACAATTTCTCAAGCACGCACTGTCGCTTTTAGTAATAAATAATACTGTTAAGTGTGGGACCATATCTGGATGACTCTGAATGGCGCTTTTAATATCAGATGTGTAAATTTTTAGAGAAAGGAGCCTTGATGGGGCCACTCCGAGGTAATCGATTTAAGAGCTCAACAAGGTTGCATCTTCTATTCACCAGGAGGCGACGGCTATAATCGGGAGTCTGTCTTGGAGCAAGCGGCTCCCTTTATAAACGGCGTCAACGAAAATTTTCTCGCACGATGGAGTTATGCCACCAACAGTGGCTATAATCGGGAGTCTGTCTTGGAGCAAGCGGTTCCCTTTGTAAACGGCATCAACGAAAACTTTCTCGCAAGATGGGGTTATGCCACCAACATATCAATATGATGGGGCTAAGTGGGCTGTTGTGACTTAGGATAGTGCACAGTACACATTAGGTCGCGGCGCAATCCTCATCTATCTCATCTTAGGACCTTATATTTCCCATTTGATCCACCAAATTGCTAAGCTTATATGTAAATTTTATCAACTATTACTTTCATTTCGCAAAGATGTAAACACATTATAATCATCAATGTTCGTCTTATTACTGAATTCCTCCAATTCCTATTATTATTCAATATTATATTTAGTAAACCAGTGGAGAACCACTTACTCAGTATTGCATTTTTTTCAATTGATATATAATTTGTAATATGTACCGTGTAATAATCAATCTATAATTAAATTATTATTAAAGTGTCAAATTGTATAAATATTGCAAAGCCTAAAGGGTAAACTTGTTTTATACCGTTGAAATAAATTCTTCATTCAATTTTGTTTCTCAGTCGCCCTGATTCGACCCTTAGGATCACTAAACAGAAAATTCAAAGTAAATGTTTACTTTGTTTCAACATACATACATATTTATGTTTACTAAAAGTAAACGATTAAATCGATTTATAATAAATTAACATTTATATGAAAATAAAGCTAATTGCATGTATGTATATTGAAAAGCATTGTGCTATCTACACATCTACGTTGGCATGTATAATGTGTAACAAACTGTAATTTATACATTACTTTTTTGTAAATATTACTTAAGTTTAGAACAAAAATAAAATAAAACATATTCATTTAATTATTAGATTAATAGAATGGTCACTAAATAAAATATTTAAATAAAAATATTTTCATAAATTCTTACAATATTTTCCCGAAGATTGTTATGAAAAATTTGTAATTTGATATCAGTTACTTCTTCCTCTTCCTCATCCATGTCTCCAAAAAGTTTCTTAAATTTTCCGTTTGAGGCAGCCAGAATGTTATAGTTGGTGTCTTTAAAATTRCCGCGTTACAATTATAATCCAAAATAGAATTCTAGATAATAGTGTAACAATTATGCAGTTTCTTTCTACTGTGCACGTACTTCTTTTGATTTGCACGGCACGCAATACAAAGCTATTTAGTGCCACAGTCATGTAATCTTAGAGAATGGGTAGATTCTTAGCAGTTAATTTTAATGTTATGTTTAAATCATACAGTTAAGAAGACAGACAAGAATTG